AATATATATATATATATATATATATATTTTTTTTTTTTTTTTTTTTGACCAGTAAGGGGATCGCAACCCTCGGCACGGTGTTGTCTGCACCACGCTCAGCCAGTGCGCGAACCGGCCATCCCTATATGGGATCCGAACCCGGGGCCTCGGTGCTACCAGCACCACACTCTCCCGAGTGAGCCACGGGGCCGGCCCTATAATATACATTTTTATATATACTTGTATATATAATTTTTTCTACACAGAAGGTAGCTTCACTCCTCACACTGTTCTGTGCTTTGTCCACTTGCCACATCCCAGGCCACCCTCCCATCAGAGTGGATAGGGCTGCCTTGGTGGTGCTGACAGGCCTGTCCCTAGCTCCCTTCCCTGCTAGTTCCTGTGGACAGCAGGTAATGCTGTCCACGCGATACCTTCTCCACCCATCAATTTAGTCACTCAGCAAACATTGCTGAGCATGTCCTGCGTACTGTGCATGGTGCCAGGCCCTGGGGGACAGAGGCCTTGAACCAGGACTAGAGAGGAGTCAGGCGAGCGAACTGAAGGGGACCGTGTGGGGTGGGATGGATCCCACGGGGGGGTGCCTGGCTTCCTGGAGGAGGTGTCATCTTGGCGTGGATGAGAAGGAATTAACTGGGTGAAGGGGCGTGGGTAAGTGCGACCCGTCCGGGGGTCCAGCTGGGGACGAGGCTGGCAAGGGCGGGCGGCGGGGCCAAGGTGGGGGGGGGGGGGGCTGCGGGAAACTGCTGGAGGGTTTTCAGCAGGGGATGCCATGGTCAGATTTTTTAAAAGCCCACCCTGGCTCCAAGTGAACGATTGATTGTAGGGGCAAGTGTGTGTCTGGGAGCCCCATGGGGAGGCTCCCGCAATGGTCTGCTGAGAAGTGATAGTCCCCGGGCCAGGAAGGTGGCCATGCAGATGGAAGAAGTGGGGGAGGGGGAGGAGAGGGAGGCGTCGCAGGCCTCCCAGGTCTTTGCCCTGCGTGAAGGACGGTGGTGGCTCTGTTGGTGATTTGGGAAGGCTGAGGGGGAGGGGAGGTGAACTCTGGTTTGGACATGTTGGTGGACATCAAGTGGGGGTGTCCAGGGGATGAGGGCTGATGAGTCTCATGCTCAAGAGGGCCCTCTGGGCTGCAGGCAGAGTGGACAGAGATGTGGGTGGGAAAAGAGGGTCTGGCTACGGCCGCAGCCCCTGGGAGGTTTCTCATGGTGTCTCGGCAGCCCCTATGTCCCTCTCTGGCACTGCCCCTGCTCTGCACTTGGCTCTGACCTCCTCCTGTAGGCTGGTTCATTAGTCTGAGATAGTGTCTCTGCCTCCAGCCTCGGTGACCACCATTCATCCTCCCACGGTGGCCAGGGTGACCTTTCTCTAGCAGACCTCTCAAATGTCATGCCTTTTCATGCCTCTGTGCACCTGCCCACTGGCCAGCCCTCTGCCTCTCCTGCTCCCAACACCCCTCAGATCGAGGAATCCAGGTGCCTCCATCCGAGCTCCCACAGCTCCGGCTTCCCTAGGGTCTCAGTAGAGGGTGGTTGATGACTGCATGGAGTCTGCCTCGTGGCACGCAGTGATCACGGGCCAGATGGCTGAGCATCACGTTACTAAGCAAGTATTAAGAAGAAAGGAAAGGCAGTGGCGCTCACATACAGGCATCTGGCAAAGGTTATGTCCTTGCCCTTTTGTCTTAACAACAGCCCTGGGAGGTGGGTGCCAACCACTCCGTTTTACAGACGAGCAAACTGAGGTTTGCCAAAGGACATTTCTCATGGCTGATTCACGGTCTGGCACGGGTTCCCACCCAATGGTTCCCACGCTGGGCAGGGCTGAGCTGTAAGGGATGGAGGCTGAGGGGTCCTGGGGCAGGGCCTGGTGGGCTGGGGGTCAGCAGGTCCTGATCTGAGAAGGTAGCTCAACCCAGGGCCCGTGTGGTGTTGTTTGTGGAGGTCGCCCTCATGCCCGCTTCCCCACTGACCAGCTCCTTTTCTCCTGCTCCACACTTTGCACCTCAGACCAGCTGCGGAGGGCGGGTGAGTGTGGCGCAGAGCTTCATAGCTTCGTCGCTTGTTTGCTTGGCCCCGCCACTCCCCTGGAGCTGCTTCCCCTGCCCCACTCTGCCTCTCCTTGCTTGGGCTGTTGAGGCACAGTGAGTCCCAGCTGCTTCTGGCCATGAGCTGTTTGGAGGAAGAGACTTGGATGGGAAAGGAAAGTCCTGCTGGGCCCAGAGAAGGGCGGCACCTGGTCAGGACTCCTGGTCTCCTGCTTTGCACAGCCTGGCCTGGCCCAGGCAGGCGGGCACTTCCCCAGGCATTTGGTGCCTGCAGCTGCATTTCCCTGCATGGCCACATTGGGCTGAGACCTCTGGGGCATGGCTGTAGCTCTGGTGTGATGCACCGAGCCCTGGGTGGCAGGGGATGGGTGGGGCTGTCACCTCCCCTGTGTGGTCACATCTTTCTTTGCCCTGTCCAGGCCCCAGATGTCTACACATCCATCACCAATTACAGGCTGGTCCTGACCTTTTCAAGCTGCGGGGGTGGGTGGGAGGAGGGAGAAGTAATCTCTGGGTGCCTATGCTGCCCTGGTAAGCACTGGAGGGCCAGGCCGTGTTGTCCCCTGTGTGGTTGGGCCCCAAGCCCACAACAGGAAGTCTTGCCCATGGACAGCCAACCTGGGCCCTCACAGAGGAGCCCAAGTAGAGAAAGCCCCAGAAGGCTATGTGAAGTGCCTCTGGCCCCATGCCTACTAGGTCCAGGATGGCTGGAAGGGCTCCATCCCCCAGAGCACAGCAGCCCCCTCTGCTCTGGGGTGGTGCTGCAGAGACTGGGGCCCACCCAGCCCCCAAGCCATGTACTCCCCCCTGCCCCACGGGCCACTTCAGCTCTTTATGGCTTGGTTCCCACTCCTTCCTCCCTCATCAAGCCGGTCTCCCCTCTGGGACATGGTCCACTTTATGAATTTTGCTCCAAAAATTTGAGATTCAGCACTCAGAGGCAAAGTGGGAGCCAATATTTGAAGAGTGCCTGCTGTGTGTTAACGAATTTTAAAATGTACCGTCTCCTTTAATCTTCATAAACAATTATATCATACCCATTTTACAGATAAAGATAAAGAAATCGAGGCCTAGAGACCCTCCCTCCTCTCCCCACTTCCCGCCTCCCTTCATCAAGTGTCGCTGAGCACCTGCTTGGAGCCAGACCCACTGCTGGTCTGAAGGCCCTGTCCCGGCTCCTAAGGAGGCAAGATTCTGACCTCAGGTCCACTCATGTGACTCCAAAGCCAAAGTTCCTCCTTCTGGAGGGACAGAGCAGAGCAGAGCCTGAGAGCTTTCTAAAGTCAGAGCCTCCTACACGGGAAGTAGTGAGCTCCCCCTCCCTTGTTGCCCACAGACGTACACGGGCTCCATCCTGGTGGCTGTGAACCCCTACCAGCTGCTCTCCATCTACTCGCCAGAGCACATCCGCCAGTATACCAACAAGAAGATTGGGGAGATGCCCCCCCACATCTTTGCCATTGCTGACAATTGCTACTTCAACATGAAACGCAACAGCCGTGACCAGTGCTGCATCATCAGGTGAGCGCCCCGGCACCTGCATGGAGCTCCAGGCTTAGCACCTAGAGCTCCAGCTCTGCACTCCTGCTAATGCCTCCAGAGATTGCCTGCACTGTTGGAAATGCCGTGAAACTTCTCAGGAACCAGGGCCTATGCGCTCCATGCTGTGCCATGATGTAGAGAATCTCCTTCCCTTTCCCAGGTCTTATGTCTCTATTAATGCCACCAAAACTCATGTTAGCTTTTGAGGCCAACCTTGTTTACTGATGGCTTCTGTTAAGTTATGGTCAGTTGGAATCTTGGGCTCCTGTTTTCTCTTGGGCAGAGGATAAAAGGACAAAGCGTTGGCTGAGCCTCTAATATGTGCCATGCTCTATGGCAAGTATGGGTGGAGGGGTGTGTGTGTCTGAATGGAGGGGAAAAAAGTAACTTTCACGTGTGGCCGGGTACTGAGCTCCTTTACCCTTCCCTGGCCCTGGAAGGTCCGTATCGTCAGCTCATGTTACAAATGAGGGAGCTGGTGGGTGGGGGCAGCCTAGGCTAAGGGCCGGATGGGCAAGGGGTCATTGTGGGCTGTGACACGTCCTGCTACTCCCTCTGCAGTGGGGAGTCTGGGGCAGGGAAGACGGAGAGCACAAAGCTGATCCTACAGTTCCTGGCGGCCATCAGTGGGCAGCACTCGTGGATCGAGCAGCAGGTCCTGGAAGCCACCCCCATCCTGGAAGGTCGGGCCGGGGCTCTGAGGGTGGGACTGGGCAGCTGGGTGGGGGCTGGCTTTGCCGGTGACCCTCGAGCCACCTTGTAGCATTCGGGAATGCCAAGACCATCCGCAATGACAACTCGAGCCGCTTTGGGAAGTACATTGACATCCACTTCAACAAGCGAGGAGCCATCGAGGGCGCCAGGATTGAGCAGTATCTGCTGGAGAAGTCACGCGTCTGTCGCCAGGTGGGCTTGAGCCCCAGGGATGCGAGTGTAGACATTTTTCCCTTGGGGCAGAGCTGCAGCTGCCCAGGACCCCAGCCTCAGGGATGGGTGGGCACACACTGTATAGTCCAGGTGTCCCTCACCTCCCTTGCTGCTGCCTGCTTGCCTTGGTGCCTGAAACCCCACCATGAAACCCACTGACTGGGCTTCTGCATGAAAGCCATTTGTTAGAGTGGAAAGCTATGTTCACAATCTTCCCAACCACACGGACCTCTGTGGTTCCTGATGGCCTCTGCCCACCCTCCTCCCCATGCCCCCGACACCTGTGCCCACATTTTCAGGCCCCCGATGAAAGAAATTACCACGTATTCTACTGCATGCTGGAGGGCATGAGCGAGGATCAGAAGAAGAAGCTGGGCCTGGGCCAGGCCACCGACTACAACTACCTGGCCATGGTGAGGCCCAGGCAGGCACCCTGGGGAGGGGATGCCCATCCCAGGATTGTAGGGAGTGGGCTGCTGGGGTCTCAGCCTCAAAGGCTCACTTGTCCCAGGGTCCCAGCCTCTTGTTGCTGTCTGGACACCAAGGAGAAGTGGGCCCTGGGCCATTGCTGCCACCAAGCACAGGGTGGAGGCTCTTGGGGCCATGTACAGGACAGGCTGGCTTGGGTAGCACACTTCCTTAGCTCTGGGAGAGCCCATGTCTGGTTGCCTGGGCTGGGCTGGACACAAGTGTGGACTCTGGCACATGATGGGTGTGTAGTGTGTGTGTGTGTGTGTGTGTGTGTGTGTGTGTGTGTGTGTGTGTGTGTTGTAGGTGTGACAGCCTTCCTGGACCCTTCCTGGAGCCGAATGGCACATTTGGACACACACACACACACACCCAGACACAGGTTTCGTAGACACACACACAATGGGACAGACCCCCTGTTGATGCCTTGCCTGTCTGCAGTTTCCCGTCCTCCGTCCACACCAGGCTGCACCTGGTGAGGGGTTAAGTCCCTGAGAGTGGGTGTCCCTGGGGAGCTGAGGAGAGCGTGGTAGGGTCTTGGTGCTGTGACTGCCAGGCAGGTGATCCTGCACCCTGTCTCCCACGCTGCCACCAGGGGAACTGCATAACCTGTGAGGGCCGGGTGGACAGCCAGGAGTACGCCAACATCCGCTCAGCCATGAAGGTGCTCATGTTCACCGACACCGAGAACTGGGAGATCTCGAAGCTCCTGGCCGCCATCCTGCACCTGGGCAACCTGCAGTATGAGGGTGAGGTGGCACAGCACACACACCCGTGCCCCCCAGCATGGACCCTCTCTGGGATGGAAGCTGGGAGAACTCACCTGCGGGTAGATTCAAGCAGGTCTGCTAGCTTGAAATAATCCTCAAGTGTGGTGTCACTGTGCTGAGGTTCCACCGTAGAGATGTACAGATAAAGTATATTGAGAGTTGCTCTGGGCCCTTCCAAACTGAAGGTCGGATGTCTTAGAGAGAGGGTAAATCCCTGAACTAATTCATACTAAGATCTGAGTGACTGAATAACCATCTTCTGAGGGCAGAAGGCTAGGGAAGGGAACGTGTTCACTCACCTAACATTCCCCGGACACCTCCTATGTGGCAGGTTGGGAGGTGGTCCCCTAAGGCAAGCACCAGGTCCCACACTGCTCTTGCCCCTGGTGCCCACCGTGGGCTCTGGGCAGCGTGGGAGCTCTGGGAAATTTTCTCAGTGAATAAATGATCGTAAAGCTAAGAAAATCATAGTCTAGTGAGTCATAAAAGACTAAGACATGGAAAGGGGGTGCATCAGGCAGAGGAAAGAGCTTGTGCGGAGGTCCTGCGGCCTGAGAGAGCAGGGAATGTTTGGGGAAGGGTAGGTTCACGAAGCCGGTCTCATAGGAACCAGAGCTGCCGCCAAGAGCTCTGTGAGGCTGGGAGTGGAGGTCGGGAGAGAGAGGCACAGCTGGCCAGTGTCTGCTACTGGGATGCCAGGCATGGTGCTGGTGCTCCACATCCATGGTCCCTACCCTCATGGTGCCGACAGGCTCGTGATGAGAATATTAATCAAACATACTCGTATATCGACCCAGAGAAGCATTTAATCATGGTGTCGTTGCCCTCTGCGGACATGGCAGGCCCCCTGAGAGTGGGCATGGCAGCCCGGTGCTCCTAGGACTGTCCCTGTGCCCACCCTCCCTGCCCTGATGCCCCACCCCTTGCCGCCGACAGCCCGCACATTTGAAAACCTGGATGCCTGTGAGGTCCTTCTGTCCCCATCACTAGCCACAGCCGCATCCCTGCTTGAGGTCAGTGCCTGGACTTCTTCCCCCACCTCTGCTTCTGTCCCTCTGAAGATAGTGTTTATCTCAAGCTCAGTGGGGGCTGGGTTGTGGGAACCAGGTGGCAGGGTCCCCCTGTTTGGGAGAGTTTTGTTCAGTGTTGAAAACCACCTGTGCTGGGCACAGTTCTCTGAGGAGCAGATCCCAGAGCCTGGGAGCCTCACTAGCCCATCCCAGCCCAGCTGCCCCTGGGATGGTGGGGTGACCTGGTTGAGTCATTCCCACGCTCTGGGCTGAGCTTAGTCTCTGCACCTGGGTAAAGGGCACTGGTGTCCTTGAGTCAATTCATTGAGTCTGTCTGTCAGCCTTTTAGAAAACACTAGGCTCTGCCCTGGGTTGGGAAACTGGGATGAATAAAGCCAGAGCCAGGGCTGGCCCTAGAAGGGACAGGTAACATGCTGGGGTTGGGAGGGTGAGGGGGTTGTCAAGGAGGGAGAAATTCTTTCCAGGCAGCCTTTGGGTGGGCTTCGATGGTTGGGGAGGACGTGGCAGTGGGGTCACAAGGAAGCACATTCTCAGTGAAAGGAACAGTCCCAGCCAGGCCTGGGTAGAAGGTTAGGAGGGAGGGTCTAGGTGTGGGTGGAGGAAGGGACAGGCTGGCAGGTGGCAGGTGGGTGGCCGGGTGAGCACCTGGGTGTCATCTGCACCAGGTGAACTCCCCAGACCTGATGAGCTGCCTGACGAGCCGCACCCTCATCACCCGTGGGGAGACAGTGTCCACCCCGCTCAGCAGGGAGCAGGCGCTGGACGTGCGGGACGCCTTCGTCAAGGTGGGCTGTGTGTGGAGTGGCCACCTACTCTCCCCACCGCTCAGGAGGTTGGCTGTTGATGGGCAGATGCCCAGGAGTCCACAGAGCTGGGCGCCATCTGGGCCTTGACCCCCGCCTGCCCTGGGGTCTGACCCAGGCTCTGGCCACTGGCTCTCTCCTGGACCTGGGCCAAAATCTTCCTTCTTCTGAGCCCCAGGCATTTATTCATCCCACAAGGGACTGGGCACTGGCAGTGCTCACCAGGGCCCTCTCAGCTCTGGTTCCCGTAGGCCCTCAACCCTTGGCCTGCTTTGATCAGCTGGTGCTGTTCCCAGCCAGGGGACACCCTCTTTGGCCTCTCCACAGAAGACACAGAAGAGGGGCTGGGTCACACATTTGCCATTCATTGAGCCCTTCCTCACCAGCGGCATCCCCCAAACCCCACCAGGCCCGGTGCTGGTCACTGAGACCTTGGAGATATTCAGAGCTGATGAGAGAGACAGACAGACAGAGAGATGGGAACCCAAAAGAGGGCTCCTTCCCCACCTGCACGGGCAGGGAAGGGTTCTCAGAGGAGCTGATATCTCAATAGAGTTTGGGTCACATGTAGGAATTGTTCAAGCAGGAAAGGGCGCTCCAGGCAGAAGGAGCAGCTTGAATAAAGGCTTGAGGGTTCCAAACAGCAAGCTGTTCCATGGAAGGGGCTGGGGCGAGGCCACAGAGGGTCCAGGAGCCTGGCCTGTTGCTGTGGCGGGGTGTGGCGGGGCCCAGGTGGCTGATGTGGCCGCCTTTCAGGGGATCTATGGGCGGCTCTTCGTGTGGATCGTGGACAAGATCAACGCAGCAATTTACAAGCCTCCCTCCCAGGAAGTGAAGACCTCTCGCCGGTCCATCGGCCTCCTGGACATCTTCGGATTCGAGAACTTTGCTGTGAACAGGTGCTACATGGGGCTGTGCTCTGTGGGGATTTCCTTCCACAACATGGACATAAGAAATGTCATATCTCTGCCTTTAAACCACATTTGGTTGGCCTCAAGCATACTCTGCCAGCCTGTTGGAAAATTTGACTTTGGTCATCTGGTGGGCCCTCCCTGCTTTCTTCCCTCCCCTCCCCAGGGTCAGCTGAGTACAGCAGGGGTGGTGGGGAGGTTCTTACCCCATCCTGGACACTTGGGGAGGCAGCCTCTGTTCTCCAGGCCCCACTGGCCACTGCTGATCTGCCCAGTGTCCAAACTGCAAGGTGCCTTGAACCAGGTGAGGCCAGGCCTGAGTCAAGCTTAAGCATCAGGGTCTCAGCCACCCTTGGGGTCCTACACCTCTTATGCACTGTGTAAGGGGCTGATGGGTAGAACGGGCATGGGTGGATCTTGGGGCTGGAGACAGCCAGCCCTGTCCCCTCCCTAGCTGCATGGCCCTACAAAGTCACTTCAATTCCTGTAGTGTTCAGATGTCTCAGAGCCCTTCCCCACCACCAAGATACCCACCTTGAAAGCACAAGGCTGTGTCTACAGCTCAGTTCTGTCAGGTCAAGGCTCTGCCTGCCAAATCATGCCAGCCCTCCCCGCCTCCCATTGACACTTTTTTTTTTTGTCTTTTTCCGTGTCCGGCAACGGATCGCAACCCTCAGTGTTGCCCCCGTACCGGACCGGGGACCGGCAACGGGATCGCAACCCTCGGCGTTGCCCCCGCGCCTCGCTCAGCCAGTGAGCGGGAACTGGTCTGTATGTGGGATCTGAACCCTCGAGCGGGAGCGCCGCCGCGCTTCCCAAGCAGCGCACTGTAGCAGTGCACCACCGGGCCGGCCCGCATTGACACTTCTGATGTCTCTTTATGGTCCACCTCCCAGCATCTTGGCTATTCCTCTCCCAGGTGCTCTGCCAGGGGTCTGAGTGCCTGTCCCTCAGCCCCAGCCCTCCCCACATGGCTTAGTCATGCAGGGAAAAGGGCCCTGAAATGGGGGTGCTGAGCCCGGGGTTCTAGCTTTAACTCTACTTCTGACTCACCAAGTGATCTTGGTCAAGCCCTTCGCCTTGCTGGGCCTCCTTTGTACACAAGGGTGCTGCACTTGACAATCCTGCCCACCTCAGAGGTTGGACAGCGCATGATGGGAGCGCTTGCTGCAGGTCATGCTGCAGGTGGAGGCAGAGCCAGCTCCTGAGCAACACCCCTACCCCATCCCTGTTGCCCCCGCAGCTTCGAGCAGCTGTGCATCAACTTCGCCAACGAGCACCTGCAGCAGTTCTTCGTGCGGCACGTGTTCAAGCTGGAGCAGGAGGAGTATGACCTGGAGAGCATCGACTGGCTGCACATCGAGTTCACCGACAACCAGGACGCCCTGGACATGATCGCCAACAAGCCCATGAACATCATCTCCCTCATCGACGAGGAGAGCAAGTTCCCCAAGGTGGTTGTGCAGCAGGGCAGGATCCTGCCGCTGCCACCCACAGGCTGGGGGAGAGAAGGTCCCTTCCCCACTCAGAGCCTCAGCTTTCCTCATCTGCAAAATGAGACTAATGAAACCCACCTCTCAGGGTGGCTCCAATCCAGTGCATTCACCTGACATTTGGGAATCACCTACAGTCCACTGGGTCCTGAACCAGACAATGAAGATCTAAGCACACAGTTGGCATAGAATAGGTGCTCAAGACACAGAATATGTCTTAGAGTGGGGGAGAGGGATTGGTCCCATGATTTAAATGGTCCCGTGATTAAAATCATGGGAAATAGATTTTTAAAACTGAAATGTACTTTCAAGGTTTAGTTTCAGTTCACCCATTTAACAGATGGGGAAATGAAGGCCCAGAGCGCTCCTGTGTGGGGGGTATAAATAAACGGAGGGGAAGTCTTGAGATAGACAGAAAAGGGATGGAAAACCTGGGCAGGAGAGGCAGCAGGGCCTGGTGGAGAGTGGGAGGGGCGTGGAGGGTGGGCTGGGCAGCTGCCCCTTTATTCCCACAGGGCACGGACACCACCATGTTGCACAAGCTGAACTCCCAGCACAAACTCAATGCGAACTACATTCCCCCCAAGAACAACCATGAGACCCAGTTTGGGATCAACCACTTTGCAGGCATTGTCTATTATGAGACCCAAGGTACCGGTGGGCTGGCGGGCGTCTGTCTCCCTTTGCTTGTGCCCTCTCCCTTCCCCTTCCCCAGAGGGAGAAAGACATTGGGGTCCTGGGATACAGAGAGGGAAGGGGCCTTAGGAACACTGGGCTCAATGCTCTATTTTTTGTTGTTGTTCCAGATTTTTGGTGATTTTTAAAGATTTTTAAAATTGTATATTATTTTATAATGTGTATCCATGGGGGGTTGGTTCCAGGACTCCCTGCAGATACCACAACCTGCGGATGCTCTAATCCCCGATACAGAATGGCATGGTATTTGCATACAACCTGCATACATCCTCCCATCTACTTTAAATCATCTCTAGATTACTTACAGCATGTAATGCAATGCAAATGCTATGTAAATCGTGGTTATACTGTGTCATTTAGGGAATAATAACAAGAAAAAATTCTGTACGTGGTCAGTATAGATGAAACCATCCTTTTTTGTCATGAATATTTTTCATTCGCAGTTGGTCGAATCCATGGATACTGGAACCCATGGACACAGAGACTGTATAATATAACATCGAATTTACCATTTTAGCCATTTTTAAGAGTATAATTCAGTGGCATTAAGTATGATCACAGTGTCGTGCAGCCATCACTGCCATTTAGTTCCAAAGCCTTTTCATCATCCAGAACAGGAGCTCTGTACCTGTTAAGCAATCACTCCCTTCCTTTCTGACCCCCAGCCCCTCATGGCCTCTATTCTGCTTCCTGCCTCTATGAATTTGACTACTCTAGGTACCTTGTATAAGTGGAATCACACAGTATTTGTCCTTTTGCGCCTGGCTTATTTCACTTAGCATAATGTCTTCAAGGTTCATCCATGCTTTAGCATGTGTCAACTTTCTCCATTTTTATGGCTGAATAATATTCCGGTATATGGATACACCACGCTTTGCTTATCCATTCATCAGTTCATGGATGTTGGGTTGTTTCCACCTTTTGGCTGTTGTGAATAATGCTGTTGTGAACACTGGTGTGCAAGTATCTGTTTGAGTCCCTGCTTCCAGTTCTTTTAGGTGGGCTCAATGCTCTTTTGGGGTAACTGAGGCTGGGGTGTTTGTCTCTGTCCTTACAATGACATGATGTAGCCTGTTAGGCACAAAGCCAGGCCTAGAACCAGCCCAGTTAGACACCAAGACTCTCAGCAACAAGTCTGAATGCAAGCTTTGAAGGGGACACATCTTCTTTTCTCCTGGGACATGCAAGGGTTCATTTTAAAGCTAGAAGTTAAGAGAGGTGAGAACACAGGTTTATCTCACTTGGAATTCTTACAAGTCTCTCAAATGACTAGACTGTCCTTGCCAACCCCATCCCTCCTACCCTGGTGTAAAGGGCCGACCTTGAATTGGCATCAGTTGTGGGGTGTATCGACATAGAGTTCCTGCGGTTCAGCCCCAAAGTGTCCCACCCATAGTTCAAAGGCCAATGAAGTTCAAAACAAGCGAGCCAGGAGCCATCAGGCTCATACTCCCTTGTTGGATTGGTCCAGGCGTCAGTAATGTATCAGTGAGCCATGCTGCAGTGATGGGTATTATCCTCCCATCCAGCAGATGAGGGGACTGAGGCCCTTCCCGGGTCACAGAGTAAGTCTGGCATAGAGCTTTATGTGAGCCCTACAATTCTGCCCTAACTCCAAAGCTCACTCTTCCATTGCTGTGTGCCCAGACACCTGGTAAGCAGCCTGGCACTGGGTCTCTATGCCATCTATAATCTAGGGGCAGCCTAAGTCCCACTTCTCTGCAGTGGCACCCCTCTCAGGCATCCCAGCCCTTGGACAACACATCTCCTGCCTCATCTAGCAAAAACCCCATTAACCAGTTCCTAACTCCTCAGTCCCTGGAATGGCAGCACCCTCTGGGGTCCATGTGGCGCTGGCTCCAGGGCTCCTGGGTGCGAGTCTTAACTCTGCCTGTGGCTTGCTGTGTGATGTTAGACAACACACTTAGCTTCTCTGAGCCTCAGTTTCCCCCACTGTGGGATGAAGAAGATAATCCCTGTCCATCCCACATATACAGGGGGAGCTGTGAGGACACTTTGTAAAATGTAATGTACTGTCCAGATACAAGTTCATTTTAATCAATTCCTTTACTATTAGCTTATACTGGATCAGCATGCGTTCTCTCCCAGGTGACACACTTACTTAACAAAGGCTTTTGACACTTTCATTCAAAAGACTCATGGTGGCTTTGGGGTGGTTCAGTCAGGAAGGTGGCCTCACTCTCTCCTGGGGACCAAGACCTCCTGCCTTTCTTGAACAGGCCTGGAAGAGGGGGCCATGTGGTAAGGGAAACAGCTCCTCACTTTCTCTGTGATCTTGGGCAAGCTGCTGTCCTGTCCTGTCCAGGGCCCAGTGTCCCCCACTGTGAAATGGATGTGGTTGGACTAGGTGAATTTTGAATGTCCTCCTGGCTCAGACATCGTGGATTTGGGGAAGGCTTGAGTTTCGTCAGGTGGGGGCTGCCAGAGCTGTCTGGCAGGTGTGACTGCTCTTTGCTGCTCTAGGCTTCCTGGAGAAGAACCGGGACACCCTGCATGGTGACATCATCCAGTTGGTCCACTCCTCCAGGAACAAGTTCATCAAGCAGATCTTCCAGGCTGACGTCGCCATGGTAAGGCTGGCAGGCTTCCACTGGGCGGGAAGGGCTCCCTGAAGCCATGCTTGGGTCTAGGCCCCACCCTTGTCCAACAGCTTCAGCTGAGGCCCTCTGGCCACAGAGTGGTGACAGAGCTTTGCTGTAGTTTCAGGAGGGGCCTGCAGGGGCCTCTGAGATCCTCCCATCTGGTCTTCTTGTACTGATGGGGTTGTGGCTAAGGTGCAAGGCCCAGAGAAAGGTCATGTGGGAGGTCACAGAGCAGAGCCTGATCAGGACTGAGTTTCCCATCGGGGTCCACCCCCTGGACCTCCCGCAGTTAATGGGAGCAGGGCGAAGGGAGCAGGTCCAGCCTCGGGATACAGGATGGGCGTGGGCATTCGGAGACACTGGCACAAAGGGCATACCTGCGCCAGGCCTTGACCCTAGACAGATGGCGGGAGGATTTCCTAATGAGGTAGTCTGGTGGACTTTTCTCCTGCAGGGTGGTATGCCTTTTTACTCCATATTTTCCTCCTGTGCCCATGGCTTCCTGAGGGTGCACGGGAGGGTAGAACCCCCACCTCCTCGGTGCCCGTCCACGCTGCCCCCTGCCCTTGGGACCACCGGCCATCGTAGAGCTGTCAGTACCCCGGACCTCTCCCTGTGGCTCTCCCTCTCTCCCTGGTGACTTTGCCCTCTGTTTCTGGCCCACGGTGCCCTCCTCACCCCTCTGCGCCCCATCTCACCCACACTGTGGTTCCCATTGTAGTTTCTCTGTGGTTATTCATCGGTCACTCTCCGCCAGTCAGCAGCTTCTGTGAAGGTAAAAGAGCCCAGCCGGGGCCGAGGATGGCGGGAGAGGCCTCAGCGGCCCTGGGCTGGGCTTGGGCCTCAGCCCGCAGGTGCTGGCGCTTGGGGAAGGGCTGGGCTTGGTCTTCTTTTTTGGAGTGTGTTTTTTTTTGTGGAGTGGTTTGTGGAGTGGTTTTTGTTTTTGTTTCTCGAGTTGTGTGTGCTGTAGGCATCTCAGTTTCTTAAAGGAGAACTCTGAGTCCAGAAAGAGGAGCAAGACTTGCCCAAGGTACCCAGTGAGCCTGGGCAGAGTGGGGACTCGAACCCAGGCCCCCAGCTCCTCTGCCCCTGTTGAGTCTCTCAGAGGCGTCAGTCCCTGCTCCCTCCACCTGGCCCTGGAGAGCGTTTCTGCGCACTTGACTGGGTCACATCCTCTGATAACCTTGCAAAGCAGGAGGGGCAGGTGGTGTTTTCTGCATTTGGTAGATGAGGGGCTGAGGCTCGGAGAGGGGATGTGACTCACCCCAAGTCACAGCATTCTGGTGGGGACCTGGCACTAGGAATCATCATTCCCTGGGCCTCCTTAGACCTGGAACACCATCCCTGGCGTGTCCTGACCTCCACCTTCCGGTCGTGCCTACCAAGGTGCTTTGGATCCCAAAGGTGCTAGGTACCCTCAGCAGCAGCTTAGCACTGGGGCCCCCTTTTGCCTCCCTTTTCTCTTCTCGTCTGTCAGTTTCCTCCCTGCCTAACACTGATGTCCTCCCACATTTGGCCTAATGCTGAGTCCCTCTTCCTTCCTGCGTATCTGGCACCCCCTGCTGCCCGGTGCCTCACAGAGTTCTGGAACAATCCACACACTCCATGGCAGCAGAACAGGGCACCGGCATGGCAAAGGCAAGGAGCTAGTCTGACAGTGGCCTCTCCTCTCTGCCCATGCATTGGCCCTGGATCCCCCACCATATACACACAGGCCAACACCTCAGCCCAGCCAGCTGGTGGAGTGCACGCAGGGCTGCCCTCAGAGAGGGGGCTCCCAGGCACCAGTGCCCAGGAGAGGCTTCATCCAAAGCCCGGTATGGGAGGGATGCAGCGTTGGCGAGAGATGGGCGTGGCCCTGGGCCTTCACTTGTCACCCACTCTTTCCTCTTCTCCCCCAGCTCCCCAGCCCCCCAACTCAGCCAGGCCCACCCACTCCTCCTGGTCTCAGGCACACCCTGGCTGAACCCTATCTTCCACCCCTTTTCTCTCTCTCCTCTCTTTTCAAAGCCTCCAGAGGCATCTGGGGACCCTTCATGACATTTCCAATTCTAAGGCTCCTTCCCCTGGGACTGGAACTTCATTTGCTGAGGGAGTGAGAGATCCAAGCGCAGACACCTCGGGTCTCCAGAAATGGCCCAGTCCCTAGGGAGTTTTAGAAGCAGAGAATTAGGATACAACGGTGACAAATTTGGTATCGATTACATCTACTGGGCACCTCTTTTGAGCCAGGCTGTGAGCTAAGCATCCACATTTATTACCTCAGCCACTTCCCTCAGCAACCGGTGAGTAATTGATATTACTCCCACTTTGCAGGTAAAGAAACTGGGGCCCAGAGAGGCCAAGGTGCCTGCTCGAGGTCACACAGCTGTGACACAACAGGGATTTGAGCCCAGGTCTGTCTCAGGGACATGCAGGGACTTGTCCAAGGTCACATGCAAGTGAGGGCTAAAGTGAGATTTTCCAAGTCCCTGATTTTTCTAAAAAGATTTTATTGATTTTCTTCTTTTTTTAAAAAATAATTTTTATTGTACTGTGTGTCTCTGTAAGCATCATCTCTAGGAAAGAAAAAGTATTTTGTAACTTCATTAAGTCACAGATTATTCGATGGCAATTGCAATGCTCTTGGCAGGGTGGAAGCCTGTGACTCCAGCCCCTTCATGGCATGCTCAGGTGCCCTTCCTCAGAGCCCCTGGCAGAGCCATTTAACATTTAGTCTGGGCTGTTCTCTCCCACCTTTACCCCATCCCCAAACATCCACAGATTATCCCGAAAAACAACAAATATCAGGAAATAAAACCAAATCAGAAACCCAGATAGCCAGGGACGTGAGAGCAGACCCCACAGCTCCATGGCTGCCATCCATTCATTCATTCAATCTACGAATATTTACTGAGTGCCCAGTATATGCCAGACATTGGTCATCCTAGGTCCTGGACAGTGGTCAAAACAGAAAAATCTCTCTTATTATAAGCTAACCCATAGGTAAAATACACAGCGTATTAGATGGTGATACGCGGTGTGGAGAAAGATTAAGGGGGGAGGAACGTGGTGTGGGGCTCTGCGATTTCGAGTAGGGTCAGGAGGGCCTCATGAAGCTGATAAGGAGCCCTGCGTTCTGGAGGGAGAACAGCAAGTGCCAAAGCCCTGAGGTGCTTTCTAAGCCTGCTTGGAGCATCCTAGGCGGGGTGAAGAGGTGTGAACAGGTGGTGGAGAGACCAGAGGGCCTGTGAGGACCTCGGCTTTCATGCAGAGTGAAGTGGGGAGTGGTTGGAGGGCCTCAAGCAGGAAGAGACATAGTTGGGTCTGTTTTTACAGCCTCACTCAGGCTGCTGTGTTGACAGGGGAGTGCAGGGACAGAAAGCAGGGACACCAGTCTGGAGGTCCTTGCACTGATCTGAGGGGGCGGTGCTGGTGTGGGCCCAGGCTGGTGGTGGAGGCAGTGGTAAGAAGGGGTCAGGTACTGGAAGAATTTTGCAGGTAGAGCCAATAAGATATGCGGCTATATTGGATGTGAGGGAAAAGGTGTTGAGCACGGTACCTAAATTTCTGGCCTGAGCCGTTGGAAGGTGGACGATTTCTGTGAGCCCATGGGCAGCACTAGGAACCGGTTCAACTGAACTCCAGCCGAGCGAAGTGTTGTTGATTGTTACTTGTGCCAGGCCCTGGCAGTGCAGCAGTGGACAAGGCAGACCCGGCCCGCCCCACCGGGCGCACAGCCCAGCAGGGAAGACAGACAGAGAGGAGTTCCAGTGTGATGATGGAAACAGAGAAGGGTGTGTGTGTGTGCGTATGCCGTGCCATGCTATGTGTGTGCGCGCGCGCTGTGCTTTGTGCGTGTGTGCTGTGGTGTTTGCGTATGTCTATGTTGTGCTGTGTGTGTGTATGTATGCCATGCTGTGTGTGTGTGTGTGAGCTGTGGAGTGTGTGTGTGTAAGCTGTGGTATGTGTGTGTGTGCTATGCTGTGTATGTGCATATGCTGTGCTATGATGTGTGTATGTTGTGCTGTGTGTGTGTGTATGTTGTGCTGTGTGTGTGTATGTATGCCATGCTGTGTGTGTGTGTGTGTGCTGTGGAGTGTGTGTGTGTAAGCTGTGGTATGTGTGTGTGTGCTATGCTGTGTATGTGCATATGCTGTGCTGTGATGTGTGTATGTTGTGCTGTGTGTGTATGTATGCTGTGCTGTGTGTGTGTGTGTATGTGTATATGTTGTGCTGTGTGTGTGTGTGTGTGCTGTGCTGTGTGTGTATGTGCTCTGTGTGTGTGCACGTGCGTGCTGTGGGTGTGTGTGTGTGTGTGCACTTGCTCCTGGCAGGGGCTCTACCAAGGGCTGGGTACAGCCCAGCCTGGACAGATTCCCCTCCAAATAGGGGGCCACCCAGCGCTGTTGCTGGATCAGATGCAGGAGCAGCCCTGTGGGCCACAGATCTGACCATCACCCTTCCCCATTGCAAATACGCCCCAGCTTCCCTGGGCACAATCCTAGAATATATTCCAAATAAAACTAAAATGGAAAACCCTGCAAATT